TAGCAAATAGAAATAATAATTACTATTATTACGGCTTTATAAGAGAGAGAGAGAGAGAGAGAGAGAGAGAGAGAGAGAGAGAGCACAAATTAATTGTCAATTAATTTTCCACTATAGAGAGTATAGATGATTGGCAAATAAATAATTTATATTATTCGTATTATTATTTAATTTGCATTAATTTTGACAACACATTTGACAACACATTTGACAACCCTTTTTGCCTACCCTTTAACATAAAAAAATTTCCCCATTAATTGACTAATATAAACAACAATTTGTTGTATAATGAAAGTGCATACAACTATAAATGAAAATCTTATTTTCCAATACAATGAATGCAATGGTTTTATATTATTGGTGTAAAATATATTTTTTCAATGTATTGATTAGTGTATGTATGTGTGTGTGTGTGTTATTTGACAAATTATATGTTATTTTTTAATCATCTATTAATTTGGTTGATACTGTCGATAGTAATCAGCCAACAGTGCAAAACCCCAACTTTTAGTTCACAAAAAAATAACAAAAAACAACAACAAAAACACATCTAATTACTAGTTATTCACACGTAACTAATGTTTAGTTATTTATTTATTAGTAATTTATTATTATAATAATATTTTTCTAGTAGTAGTAGTAGTAGTTTTATTTTAGTCAATTATTTAGCGATTAGTAATTTTTTTCTAATATTGTTGATTAAAAAATAAATTTATTATTATTAAATTTTATATTGAATTTTTTATACCGTTATATATATACAGTACAGTATTGTACATTAATAAATGATTATGTGATATATTGATTATATAGTCAATGATAGATCCAAAAAAAAATAAAATAAAATTGATTGGACTCTCATTGTTTGACTTTTTCCGGCATTTAATGGTTGGTCAGCGCTCAGGGATTAGCCGATGAATGAATGTCTCTAAAACTAAAAGACATCAGACAATAGACAATCATAAAAAGGACAGTCATTTTTTTGGTGATACATTCAATGTAGTCTTAAAATTTAGTGGTTATGTATAACATGCATACCAGATAAGAAAAAAATAAATTATATATTTTACATTTAATATAAAAATATATTTAACATATTATTACAGACTAATAAAATTTTAATTACAAACAAAATAGTTTATTATAATATTATTTGTTATTATTTAACACTTTTATCATTTATATACTGTATATTTGATTTATGTATAAGAAAATGTTGTTTTTTGTTGTTGTATTTATGGTTAATGTTTGAACGTTTTTGTATCAATGGCTTAACGGCTAAAATACGACTATGACTACTACTACTACTACTACTACTACTACTACTACTACTACTACTACTACTACTACTACTACTACTACTACTACTACTACTACTACTACTACTACTACTACTACTACTACTACTACTACTACTACTACTACTACTACTACTACTACTACTACTACTACTACTACTAGAGTATTATATTGGGTGTAAAAGTGCAGTGATTTTTTACGGATAACTTTTGCCTAAAATCATTGCAAGAAAACAAGACATCACTCGTATTTGTCGGTTGTCTAACAGTTATTTTTTTCTCGGATTCAATGTATTCAATGGTATATACATAATAGGCATTTGAGAGGAAAAATTTGGTAATCATTAGGATTGGGAAATAAGTAGACTTTTTTCTGAGTGTGTATATATGTGTGTATATACAGAATAAATGTGTTTATATGTATGTGTATTACTGTTATATCTTATTTTTATACTGTAGTCTTCCAATAGTCTCCCTTTCCTCACACATTTTTACTTACAGTACTTACTTATTATACTTTTACATACCCTATCCATCCCTTTCCATTACATGGAAAGAGAGAGAGAGAGAGAGAGAAAAAAAAATGCACAGCTTTTTCTGTTAAGATAAAACAAATGAACGGATCGATTGATGAGTTGACAGGATTTACCATTGCATACAACAACAACAACAACAACAACAACATAACAGTGCTAGTGATCAACAAAATAAGTGATTTTTCTTCTCGTTTAGAAGTTAAACACAAACACATACACATACCAGAGCTCCGGTAGGGTTGTCTGTGTGCTAGTCTTTAAAAAACATATACACTTAACGTTTTAAAGTTAGTAATATAATAAATTTTCATCACAAAATATTTATACACACTATCAATATATATATATATATATATATATATATATATATATATATATATATATGTTATAAATATTTTAAATATTTATTAATATGTTATATTTTACTGTATTATTATTATATCCTTTTTTTTTATTGTTAACAAATTTCTAATATTAAGATACATGTTTTGCTGGCACAACAACATACAGTACATACAATTTGTTTAATAAAAAAAACAATGCCATCCTTATTATTGATATTAAAATTTATGTTATAAGTTATATGTTACAGAGTATAACTTAAAGTAATGCATGATTTAAAGTTATATTTATTGATTATTTTTCAAAAATCCATGTATTTCAATTTTATTATTTTTCTATAACTACACATATAAATTTATCATCTATATAAAAGTGTGTGTATATACAGTACAGTAACTTTATATATACATTATAATATACACAATAGTGTTTAGATACTGTAAACAATTTAACACACAAAATATAGCAATCATTGTAATCACACGCTCACTGTTATTGATATCAAAACACACTAATCGCATAGTTTTATAGTTTTTATCCAAAAATATATATATTATCATTTGAAAAACTCTTAGTGATTATATAATGATAGTTTGTATTAAATGGTGGCAATCTTTTATAATTTAACCCCAAAATGTTAAGCTATTTTTTTTGGATAATGATAATGTTTCCCAGTTGTATAATATATATATCAATATATTGTATAGTAATATAGCCTTATATGTCACACATACTGTTATTATCTGCTAATTGTGCCCAACATTGAATGGGGAGAAACTTTGAAACTAAAATATATCCAATATATTGTATACAATAAAAAAAGAAATTTTCATCACATTTAGTACTAATATTTAATGTAATGTAATTTAAAAGAGGGCCTAAATGCCTGACTATTAGTGTTATTTTTTTTGGTTGTTAATGAAGATTTTTAAAATTATTATTTTAAACGAATATATATATATATATAACTATTATATTAATTTTCAAAATTACATAGTTTTATTGATAAGATTTTTAATAATTTTTATTATTGGCATATATACAGTATATATATATACAGTATAATATTAGTTACTATTTTGTAAATTATAGTAATATAAATTTTATTATGTAAATATGATCACACAAACTACGATAAATACATCAAATTGATGTGACTTTTTCAGTAAATATATATATGTTTTTAGATATCTCTCTCTCTCTCTCTCTCTCTCTCTCTCTCTCTCTCTCTCTCTCTCTCTTATCCTATTTTACTCTTTCATATACCCGGAAATCTCCCGGGAATTAAAATTAGTATCACAACAAATATGTTTGACATGACAACTGCCGCTTCCTCTCCCTTACAAATAACTACTATCTTTACCCCTTTCGCCCCCTCCTATCTACTCAACATTATATACAGTACATACACAGATTTTCCAATGGCTTATCTGACAATAACTGTCTATAACTGATTACTTGACAATATTACAGTATATACTGTGTATATATACCGTATATTATTAGTGAAAAAGAGATTGTGTTTACTGTTTAGGAAAATGTGATTTTGACGGATAAATAAAGTGCATAATAATGTCTATCATTTTGAATCCGCACTTTTGCTAACTAATCGCTTATATACGGTATATATATATATGTAGTGTATATCTGTGTCACCAAATACTTTAGATATATATCTTTACTATTTTTCTGTATATATATATATATATATATATATTTTACATACAGATTATATACTATATAAACAAAATAAAAATATTTTACTTTTTATAATTTTATTTAAAAGTTTTACTTATTATTTAATTTTTATTTTATTAGAGAAAGTTTAATTTATTAAATAATCTATAACCATAAATAAATGTAATTAAAATTTTAATCGAAATTTAAATTTATTTAAATAATATAATAGAAATTATCTTATTTTTTGAAAAACAATTTATATTTATTAAAATTTTTGTTTTATTTTAATAGGATTTTTAAATTTTGTTACATTTTTTTAGTTGAATGCTTATTTTTGTCTGTGTATTTGTTTGGTTTTACATAAAATTTTTGAAAATTATCATTTATTAGTACAGTTTATAATAGCAATGTATTTACAAATTATTTATTTATTGGGTAGAAAAATGAGATTTATATTTTGCTTTGAGTTTTGTGTAGTTTTAAATAATAGCCAATAATAAATATAAACGTAATTATTAGTATTTATAATAATAATAATAATCAAAACTGTGTTTCAAAATTAAATTAAATTATACTAATTAATAAATTTAATCACAAATAACAGCAATATTTTTTTAAATTTATTTTTATAGTATTATTTGGAAGCATTTTTCAGGTATTTTAAAAACTTTTTTTTAAGTAAATATTTTATGTTATATAAAGAAAAATTTTTTTTCTCGTGTAATCATTTACAATAATAAATATTTTTATTAAAAATTTAAACATACACATTTGTGTTAACTAGATGGTTATTATTATCATTATTATCATGTTAAAAAACATCAAAAGTTTAGCTTGCTCATTTATTCATTTTGTTTTTTGCTAGTTGTTAACAACTTTTAGTATTTTTTTAATTAGTAATAATTTATACCAATTTATTTTAACGACGACTAGTTGTTAGTTTTTAATTAATCAATTAATTAATTGTTTAATTATCATTATTGTTAGTTAGTATTGCTTTTTTATATAAACAATTTAAGTTTATATTACATAAATTGTTTATGTTGTTATTGTTATTAGTAGTAAATAAATTAATTTTTTATTTTAATTCTCTTAATTATTTATATATAAATATTTGTGTAAAATTTGATAATCAAAAAACATGTGTTACAATAGGTATATACAATTTTACGTGAATTTTGATCCATAAAACAGTAATGACATCAACGATACTAACATTAATATGAGGCTATCTTTGGATGCAATGATGAATGTGTTGTTTAATAAAGCAAACTCTGTAATTAAAACAACAAAAAAATTATATTAATATTATTATAATTATAAAAATATAGTAATTTATATTATAGATTATTTTTGAAAATAATTTTTAAAAATCAAATAATTACAAAAAATTTAGTAGTGTAACATATGTAATAAAAATATATTTTTTTATAAAAACACTAAATATTTATAATATAAAAGTTAAAATAAAAATAAAACTTAAATATTACATAAAAATATATTTTTTTAAATTGTATAATATTTTTAAAAAATTTAAAATGTGTTAAACATCTGTTAGAATAATATATATATGAAATAACATTTTTACTCAATTGATAATTCATTGGGCAATAATTTTTTACTATTTTTATACTGTATATATATACCACTATAAAATATTGAATTTCATGTTATATCGATATATTGTATATTACATATCAAATGCAGTAAATCATAGAAATTTTTAGAAGTTATATACAATATAAAACATATCAAATTGTATTGTTGTAAAGATATATAGATTTTATCTCTATATCTATTATAAACAGTATATATTTCAATGTTTTATAAAATTCTTTTTATTTTGCTATTTGACGGTATAGTTAGATAACATTGAATAGGAGAGAGAGAGAGAGAGAGAGAGAGAGAGAAAGAAGGATATATATATATATATACAGAGGACAGGGATGTTGTCATGAGTGTCACCGAAATAAACAACAGTACGAAAAAAAATTATTTTAATGGATATCTCACTTCACACACACACACACACACACACAGTGTAACTGAAAAAACTAAAAGGATTTTTTATTTTGGTTTTTTATATATCAATCTAACTATTGTTTTCTCGCTATAGTAAAGATCTCAGAGATAGATAATGTTGAAGAAGAATGTGAAAAAAAATATTTTGATTTTAATTTTTTTGTTTCTCTATTTATATATCATATATTGTTTAACATTTGTCTCCAAAAAAATACATGAAACGACAAAAAATATTTGCAATGTTTTTGTGTGCTTAACCTTTTTATTTTTTGTTTTGTTTGTATTAGTATTTCTAGTATTTTGTTTTTCTGGTCTAACAATTGAAAAGTATAAAATATCAGAGAATTTTGTTTTAAAAAAAAGATATATCATATTATATAGAGTATATATAATGTATACGTTGTTTAATATGATTTCAAAAAATATGTTATACTATTTTTATCACAAGTTTTACTTTCACTTTTCATTTACTAACTATCTATCTGTTTATCTATCTATTCATTGCTTAACGATTTTTGTTAGTTTGTTTGTTAAGTTAAAACTATTTTTTTTCTCTGTTAAAAACCTATTTAATACAACAACAAAATCTATTGTTTTATTTGCTATTTATTTTAGATCTCATATTCTTGATATTTTTACTTAAAATTATTATATCGTTAACTAACAATATTATGCAGAAAATAATAACAAACAAACAGAGAGAGAGAGAGAGAGAGAGAGAGAGAGAGAGAGAGAGAATATTCTGTTATCAAAAATAACGTCTAATTAAGACTTAACGCTTGACTGATAATTATTATATCTTAAAAATTAATATATATTTATATTAAATATAGTGTACATTTAGTAGAAAATTTTTGAGTTAAAATTTGATGACTATATAAATTATAAACTACATTATATAATACTATGATAATAATTATAATAAATATATATAAGATTATATATTTATAAACAGTATAATGTAGTTAATGTATCGCAAAACTTCTGTATCTTATTAATGAAAAAGATTTGTTATTTTGCAAATTAATTAATTTTTTTATCAATTTACTGATAAATTGATATAATATAGAAAATTTTAACAAATTTATTTAGCATTGACTAAAATATATAGGAAATTAAGAAAACAAAAATTGTATAAAAACAACACAACATTTTTCCATATAATTAGCGATAATTAAAAAAATATTTTTTTAATTTTTGAAAAGAAATTTAATTATTAATTTTCTTATATATATATATTTTCTCATCTTCCAAATCTATACATTAATCTTTTATATAATTAAAAATTAAAATTTATTTTTATGGTTTTTTTTTGGTTTAAAAATAATAACTTAAGTTTCCTATTTATTTAATTATGTTTGAAATAATAACTTATATAATTTTGCTAATTGTATGACAAAAATCTGGTTCACTGGTATATTATGGTACTGTATAAAGAAAAATAAATTAAGAAACTAAAAACAACATTAAATATAGATATATTAAGAAAATTAACTGAAAAAAATCATACTATAATATATTGTTTATTATATAAAGTACTGTACTCTCAATTTAGTCTATTAGGAGTACATTATTGATAATAAATTGTCCAAAACTTTATTAACACAAAGAGTGAGTCTCTCTTTCTTTCTTTCTCTCTCTCTCTCTCTCTCTCTCTCTCTCTTTGAAAGTAAACTCTTTAACTAAAACTAAAAGACAAACCAAATAAAACAAACAAACGAAAAAAAGACAACAAATAAAATGCACTGCAAAACAAAAAGTTAATCAACTCATAGAAAACTCCCGGAGCTTTGCGCTAATGCATTGTAATAATAATAATTGTCATTATTATACTGTGTGTGTGTGTGTGTGTGTGTCCCACTAATGTCTATACCGTATGATGAGTTTATGAGTGTCCAGCAAAACTAAAACAACTGTCCATTTATCAAACATACACACAGAGGGATGTCATATACACATTAAAAACGATGACAACAAACCTGTTAAATAAGTGATGCGTTTCTTTCTCTGGAAATTGTTTTTGCTTCCGTCGGCTAACAATAGCAGACATTCGTAATTGTTTCGATGACTGCCGTACTGTTGGACCAGTTGGTAGTCGCGTAGGTCACTAGTGATGGTCACATTGTAGGCGCCGTTGGCGTTACGGTCCACTCGTTGCTCGATTTCGGTCAACACCTGGACCTTACTATCGCCGCCGTCGCTCACCCGATATATTGTCATTTCTGGCACTGGAAACACATCGGACACCTGACAGCTCAATTGGGCCGACGACGGCTGCCATTCCATGTCATCCATATCCCTGTCCATAAACGGATGGTGCGGATCACGTGACGCGTATTGTGGCAATTGTTGACCACCACCTCCAGCACTGCCGCTGTTGTACGGATGTTCACCGTAGTGGCCGGCGTTGTATTTATTGTCCTGTGTATGTGTCATCGGTCCCATAGGTGACTGGCCATTGACCGGTTTATAGTGCCACTGATGGGCACCTTTCCTCGTCCGTAACGCCAACTGTTCCTCCTTGTCCTTAGTTCGCGTATAGTTAAAGTCAAACGTTTTGGGTGTAGCTATCAGTGCAATAGATATACATTAATATTTATATTGTTATATGATATACTAAAAATTTTATTATTACAGTATAATATTATTTTTATTATTATTATTATTAAATAAGTTTTGTTTTTGAAGGAAAAGAGAAAAAGATGAGAGTTTGAGAAACAATTTGAGGAAAGGGAGGAAAGTGATCAAAATTATAGAGGGGGAGAAAGTCAGTCTAGCAGATCACTTAATAGTGATAAGTGACTGCCAAGAGAGAGAGAGAGAGAGAGAGAGAGAGAGAGAGAGAGAGAGAGAGAGAGAGATTTGTTTTTCCATCCCTTTCCTCAATGACAAAAAAATCCGATTTATTTTTCTATGTAACATAACTTTAAGTATGAAAATCTATGTTTTATTTATCGTATATATGATATATGAATAATATATATTTAATATATATATATATATGACTTTCTCTGTCTTTTCCCGTTTATCTCTCTCTCTCTCTCTCTCTCTCTCTCTCTCTCTCTCTGACTCCCTGTCCTCTTAATGTCATCTCCTGTTTTAAACTGTCTATTTCGTACAGAGACACACACATAGTCCTAAAAAAAGGTTTCCTCTTAAACAGCATTTTTTAAAGAAAAAGTAGAAATAAGTTAAGTGTAAAAAATTCACAATTTATGACATACAGTAAGAATTATAGATATATATAACTTATATCTCATAATAATTTTAAAACAAAATTTATAATACATTTTTTCCTCAATATCTAAGTCATTATATATGTATGTGTATGTCATATAAGTTAGTTATGTATATAAGTTATATTTCTCTTATTATTTTTTATTTCAATGTCTTACTCTATATGATATGATATGTTATATAATATATCATCTAATATTCAAAACTAGTAAAAAGTTATTATTATTATTATTTTATCCAAAATCTTTTCTATATATATTAAATATATATATATATATATATATATATTTTATTGAATTTCTTTTTTTAAATATTTTTTTCGCACTACTATTAAGTCTAAAACTATACTGTCTGTAGAGTATAGTTGTGGTTCACTACACACTATAGTTATAGTCGATGTCATATAATTGATGACATTCTTGTGAATCACTCATTATATTAATATTTATTATTATTATTATAAAGAAAAATTATATATATATATATATAGAAGTATATTACACATATAAGAAATATATAAATATAAACTTATACTTATATACTATTTATAAAAAAAGATAAGCAATGAATAAAATGAAATGAAAATCAAATGAAGAAAAATTGGAGAAAATATTTTCTCTCATCTCATCTCTCTCTCTCTCTCTCTCTCTCTCTTCTCATGAAGTCATAGAAATAATATAATAAAATGTGAATGAGAGAGACATTCAAAAAAATAAAATATATTTATAAGATATAAAAGAAAGTAAAGAATCTCAAGAGTAAAATAAAAACACAGAATATTCTATATATCACTGAAAAAATCGATACCCAAATACAAAATAACTTATATATTATATAATACTGTATATACTCTCTTATAATATTAAAGATATTATTTAGTATTATTTAGTATTATTTTATTATTATAATATGGATCTTTAAAAATCTATAACCTACTAGTAAAATGTCATTAAATTTAGTCATAAATTAAATTTATTATTCATTTTAAAATTACTACAAAACAACTACCGTATAATATACTACTGTATAATATATTTTCAATTTAATGTTATTTGCTATAAGCGCAGTATATTTATATTTTTTCCAATAAATAACTTATAAGTTTAGGGTTTCTTATAAATATCAATATTATATATTTATATTCAATAATATGAAAGCTTAGAAAAGTTATTTACAAACATAACAAAAGATATATTTATTAACTGTATTTAAATAGTTTATAACAGTTGAAAAACAATATTTTTTTAGAGAGAGAGAGAGAGAGAGAGAGAGAGAGAGAGCACTGGTATCTAATCTGGTCATACATACCAAATACAATCATAGTTTCCTCTTCCGAATCCTGTGATGACAGTGACAACACATGACACGAGTATTTGCCGCTTAAATCAATGGTTGGCCTCAATATATTTAGTGCCCGATATTTGGTCATCGGATCGGCTGTATTGACTGCAAAGTCCATATTGATGCGGCCGTACAGCCGTTTGGACGCATGTCGGGCATTCAGCTCCGGTATCCACTGGTAGATAGGCTCCGGATCGTCATTGAGAAACCATTTGACTACCAGATTCTTGTCGTCTATCGGATCCAATGTGTAGACACAGTCCAATATAACTGAATCTTCGGTGCCGTTCTCCACAAAGCGCGGCACAAACAGCGACTGGATCTCCACTTTTGCATTGCATACTATCGGTGCCAATGAAAATAAAATAAAATTTATTTAATTTTATGAATTAATTTTTATTTTATATTAATAATTATATAAATAATTTGGTATATATATAAATTAATAGCATCTTTCAAGATATGGTCATAAAATTTGCAAACAATTGCGTTGCTATTTATATATATATTATAGCAATATAACAATATTTTAGTTTATTATCATTATTTGTTTAGTTTGCATTGTTTTGTATTATTTTTTGTGGATAAATCAATAATAATAATAATACTAACATTTCTTTTTTAACTCTTCAACAAAATCAAATTCAGTAAAAAAAATTTGTTGTTTTTTTCTTTCATTTTTGTCTTATATATGAATTACTATTGTATGGAGTATTGAACTGAGTTTGCATTATATAAATTATATAAATATAACTTATTTATTTATTTATATATATATTGAAAAGTGTATAGTTATGCTGAAAATACAAAATATATTTATTTTTCTTGTTATGTTATTATGCAATGAATTTTTAAATATAATCAACATTATATGCAATATTCAAAAGACAAACATAATATGGCATATAAACTAATTTATTTTTTAAACTCATTAAAGATATTTTAATTTTGCTAAAATTGCAAATATATTTGTCTTATTTCATTATATATTTTTTACATGTATTATATACTGTATATATATATATATATATATATACTACATATGATAATTAAAATAAATATCATATGATAAGTAAATGAAATATTATGTAAACTAGATTTTATTTTTATAACTAACATATTTATTTATATTGATCACAAAATTTTCATTTCATTACTATTTAAGAAAGTAATATAATCATATGTTTAACAGTATTTTTTTAGGTTAATATCCTAATTGCAATAATATAGTACTCAATATTTAAGTATGATATTACAAATAAAATCTAAAATATCAATAAAATGAATTTTATCACTTTTTTCAAATTTGCACTTATTTATTGAATTTATTGAATATTATTATAATTTCAATAACCCTTATATGAATAAAAAAAATAAATATATACAATAAATACTATTTATATTATTGACTCATAAATTGACTATTTTATTTGCTAAATTTGAATTTTAAATTTTTTTGGGACAAGTTTACTATCTACCCTTTTTTTATCATATTATTGTTATTATTATTATTCTAAATGTTTATATAAATTTAAATTATATTTACTAAAAAAATATATAAAAAAAATATTTAAAAAAAAACTATTGCTTTGCTAGCGATTTTCAATTTCCGTCTGATATAAAATGTTTTGATTGTTATTTTGTTCACTAAATATATTTATTTATATAATAAAATAGTTTAGTATATATACAGTATGTAAAAAGTACTCAATTTGTAAGGTTATTGATTTTTTATGATAAAATATAAAATATATATATTGTATATAATACAGTGTATATCAATACATTACATATTTTTAAATATTAGTTTACAATTTTATTTTATATTGTATGTGAAAAATAAATAAAAAACTAACTTATTTTAATAAATTTAATAATAATAATAAATAGTATAAATGTTTTTATTATATATAAATTATATATATATATATATATACTGTATATTATTTTTCTATTAACCTAACAGCAAATTACTGTATTGTATATAAATTGCTAATATTTACATATCAATTGAGAATTTGGACTTCAATTGGATTTGAAGTATATCTAAAAATAGTAGTTAGATTAATAGTCCCGGTGCCCAAAAATGATAGACCTTTTTTGTTCTACCGGTGCTCTATTAGTACTACAACTACATTACTATTTACTATTAAATATCATTAATAAAAAAACAAAAATTGTTTTTCACATTAGTTTTTACTGTATATATATATATAAGACCATTACTAATAGTATAGTGAATAAACAGTAAATACCTAGATAATTAACTGTAGAAATGTTTACTTAATTTAGTTGAACATAAAAAAAATATATACTGTATATAAATTTAATGATATATTTTGCTAATACTCAATGTAAATGAATCTCTAATTAAATATTTATTTATTTATTAAGGATTACTTATTTATTTTTATTAATATTATTTGATTTATTATTATTATTATTGTAAGACATAAATCAATGTTTAATCTATTATTATTTAAAGTTTTAGAAAATTTAAATGAAAAATAAAATAAATACAACAAAAACTTTGCAATTATTAATTAGTAAAACTAAACTCATTTTTAAAATTTTTCAATTATCATGTCTTTGTTTGACAATTAAATTTATTATAAGTACTTAATAATTATTATAAACTTATATCTATTAATATATTACTGTATTATCAAAAAAAAATATTTTTATTTAACTATTAGGTAAAATTAATGATGTAAATTTACTATACATATTATTATACTAGAAAATTATTTTTAAAATAAAATAAGATATAAATTTACTTTCTCTCTCTCTTTCTCTCAAATAAATTGATATAAATATCTATAAAACTTCTATCATTTATATTAAAGCGCATCCAAATTTTTATACAGTATTTTCTATTATTTCACGTTTAATATAAAAATTATGATAATTATAATTACTATTGTCATTGTATATACTGTATAAATATAAAACATAATAAAATAATAAACGAAATTTCTATATTTATTACTTAATATTTAAATTATTTATATAAAGCAAACGTTCATTTATTAAGCATATAAAATATGGTAAATAGTTTATTATTATGCAAATTATTTTTTTTATATTATTGTGCTTTTCATTATAATTAATATATTTAAGTATGTATTGTTTATATAAATAATTACTATATTTAGGGAACTTCTAATAAATCATTTATTTATAGATAATTTTTAATACTATAATTATATTTAAATAATTTTCTATAATATTAGTTTATAATGTTTTTTGGCCATAAAATATTATACTGTATACTAAAATGTCTAGAGAATTAAAATATTTATGGTTTATATATTAAATATAACAATAACATTATATCTCAAAATTTTTATAATAGCGTATATAATAGTTTTTTTATAGTAAATATTAAAATAAATGTAAACTTTTTTTTGGTAATATTTAAACTAATCTCAGTTGACATTAAATGTTTTGAAACTTTATATATATAATAAAAAGTTTGATACAAAATCTCACTATTTTTTTGTTGTTATATATTGTTTTAACATTATCATTATTGTTGGTGTTTTTGTTTAATAATAATACATGTTTGAAATTTTACTGGCGTTTTGAACATTAGCCAGACTTATGGCGAGATTTATTTATTTTTTTGATTACCAAAGCATTTAACTTATGACAACAACAACAACAACATAACATTTTAAATCAAGTATAACTTTAGCGTAATATATATATACTATGATTAATATTATACAGTTATTTAAATATTGAATATACAGTATATCATTAAATAGATAACTAGGATTGCAAAATATACTCAGTATTTGAAGGATTGTTCAGCAAATTATAATCAAAAAAAAAATATATATTGTTATGTTTTAATGATTTTAATGATTGTCATTAAGAAAAAATTATACTAAAACTATTTAACATTAAAGTTTAAATTTGTTTAATATGTATAGTTTTAATATAAAATTTTTTTTTTAAATAATTTATTCGTATTATAGAATGTAATGTAAATTAAAATCTGTTTTCTGTATATTATTTAGTAAAATGTTATCTAATTTAATATTACTCTAATATAAAATGTTCTCAGTTTTCAAAATAAATAATATTATTATTGAGGCAACTCTATAGATAACTGTTAGATCTAAAAGATAAATTCAAAAACAATTGATTTTTTTCATGGACAGATTATCGATAAATGATTCATAATTTAGACACACTTTAAGCAAATACAAACACATAATGAGTTTGTGTGTGTATGTACTGTATGTGTGTATGTGTGTGAGAGAGAGAGAGAGAGTGAGTGAGTGAGTGAGTGAGTGAGTGAGTGAGTGAGTGAGAGAGAGAGAGAGAGAGAGAGAGAGAGAGAGAGAGAGAGAGAGAGAGAGAGAGAGAGAGAGATCTGTGATGTTTGACCTCAAACGTTGTCAAAGCCGTTAAATCATAATAAATCACTTTCTGATGGGTCTGCTATCACCCGGTGCTCTATAGCCATCTGAATATCTCTCTCTCTTTCTTTCTCTCTTTCTTTTTCTCTCTCTTTTATAAATATTATTTTTTTGTCTAAATAAAAGTATTTAAATCTTTTCTATATATTTTATATATAAAAATATTTTACGTACAGAATATTCTTATATATATATATATATATTCTTTAAAATGTCAGACTTAATACTAAGTAAATTATTTAATAATAAAGTTTTTAAAAGATTTGTAATCCTTTATTTGGTTTTGTCATATATATAAAGAATTTATATTTATATATAAGTTCTTTATATAAAATATTTATTTTTTTTAAATAAAGCAAATCCTATGAAAATATATATTAATTTTCTGTTTAAACACTGTTTTATATGTATATTATATTATGTTGTTGTTATAAAATCCCTATTGTAATGCCATTTGGCATAACATTCATCAAAGTCATAGTTTAAATAATGAAATTATTGTTTTGTAAAAAATACAAAATAATTATTTATACAAATATTTGCAAAATAAAGCACATTTAACATACAGTATATACCGGTATATATGTCTGTAAATTGTATATTAATATATTACTATAGTTATATCAAATGACAAATTACTTGTATTATAATATTATTTAAATATTTTTCTAAAATTTTCAGTTTAATTTATTTGAATTTAATTCAAAAATATTTATTTGTCATAAATTTATATAAATTTTTTAATGTTAATATAATTTGTTTGTATAAAAAAACTATTAATAATTTTTTTTGTGGAAAAAAACTAATGTAATAATTAGTTTATAATCTTCTTATATAATATATTTATTTTACAAAAAAAATAATTAATTAATTCAAATGGAGATAATAACATAATAAGAAAATTTTATTGAA